TTTTTAGATGCTTCAGTGAGTTATCAAAATGTCTGCTGTAAGTTTGAATAGAGCAAAGAGCATGCCTTGTCATTGACTGCTGAACACATCCAAAACTACATGGGGAATTGTAAACTGACTGCCATATTCAACTAACCAACCACTCAGGAGTTGCTATGTCATTGATTGGTGTCATACAAACTTCAGTTATTAATCTTATGTATTTCATTTCATTTAGTTTCATACCATAGTATTACATAATATAAAATTCAAATTATGGTTCACATTAAAGTTGCAATTCATAAAATGCTATAAGCATCTTGCCAAACAATATCAAAATTTCACTTCTAATTATTAGTCTTTCTAACCACTGTGCATTGTCTGGTGGTGATAAATTATGTTCCAGGCCTTTTTCCCAGTAAATCTATTAATAATTTGTCAAACAGATAGCTAAAAACAATGGTTATAATACACATGAAAAAATAAATACTAATACCCATAATTAAAAACAGAAGAACAGGATTAATAAAAATAACAGGATACGAAGAAAACATTGGGCAAATTTAAATCATTCAATTAAGATATCTGCATACTTAAAAAATATTCAGTAACAGCAATGTTAGGGAAGCATATGAAGTTAAAATATTGTGAAAAAGATGACAATCACAAAAACACCAAGAAGACAAGTTTGATAAGAGTGGAGAAATGTGTCAATTGTGAGTAAATGCATATATAGCAAACCTGACAGAAGTTTAAAACCAGATAAAAGTAACATTTTAAAGACACTACGCACAACTGTGATAAATCCAAACATAAAAACACTTCTTAGATCCAAATCATGAGTATAAATCAATATATTATGTGAAAATTTTGGCAATTGTATACAGAGACTTAACTGTATACATACAGAAGAAGTTTCACAACCACAAAATTAATCGAGTAGTGAATTAATAGAGCATTATAAGCCACAACCTTTATTTTAACTCCTCATAAAACAGAATGATAATGAAACACAACAAGAAGTGGGAATTTTGAGAACTAAACAAAAGTGAGAACTTAAAAACCTATTAAAGAGAGAGCATAATAATACTATAGTTGGCTACAAAACTAACAATAATATTAAATTATGAAGCACTGGAATCAACACAAGCAGACCAGCTACACAACAATGACCAAGTGACATTTACAAATGTTGCTGTATCAGTTATTACATAATATTTAGAAGTTTAAATGCAGCTTATACTTCATATAAGTAAAATTTACCAACACAGAATTGAAGTTATCAAGGGTTTTCAGTATTGTAATAACTGTGCTTGACAGTAACATGAGTAATACAAGTGAAATAACCAAATGGACAAACAATGATGCTAATACATTATACTCCTTGTGCATCAACCAGGTGTAAGATAATTTTTTATTGTAAGTGTTACTTTTAATTGAGTTTTAAAGTGTCAAATGGCCATATACTGAAAAATTTTAACCAGATGACAGCAAAAAAGGGGCACCAACCAAACCAAACCTTGCACTGCAATCACTAACTGATATTTTGTGCATCCCTGTTCTCTTAATCTGCTAGTACTTACTATTAGGCAATGTCCTACGTAAGCGATAACAAGCTGCACAAGCAGCATGGGGTGTCATATGAAGCGGGGAATCGCTTGTTGTGTCCTACGTGAGAGACCACAATAGAAGCACACGGCCTTCCTGCGCATGCACCTTCCATGTACTGCATGGTCAGAGCTTTCTTGCGCATGGAGCCTTACTGGCCAGCGCAGCGACTCGCGCAAAAATATCAAAATATTTGATCTTGGACTTTGGCCGCTTCCCTCTCCTGACCACTTCGCTGGAACCTAGGACAGCGCCACACAAACAGCCAGTTTGATATTTCCTCTTTACCCACGCAACTCGCACCGCTCGCATTTAATCGCTCACGTAGGACACCGGGTAAGTGTATTGGTGCACAAGGAGACTACTTTGAAGGTGACAGCAACAACTGGTGTGTAAGTAATTAAATTCAGCTCTTATGGAGGCATTCTGGGGACTTCATTGTCATACCTGAAAATTTAAAACAATACATTTTAAGTTGATTAACAAGTAGAACATCCACTGCTCTCAGATGGTTTACATGTGAACAGGGGAGTGGCACAGTGGGCAGCTCTGGCGCACAGTAATGTCTTGGTCTGATGCACTGTGCTTACAAACTGTGCAAGTCCATGCAACAGACATGTTCATGAGAGGACGCCCGGTGGCAACACAAATTGGAAAACGGTTGCCACAGCTAGGGCATACACCGCACCTGCAGAACAAAAACAACATTTTCTCTAAATGGCAATTTATTTATTACTAGGAAATTACCCACAAAAAATAACAGGAAAATCTGAATAGTACTTAAAAAAATAACATTTTTATTGAAAAATCTAACAAAATAACATACAAATTAAAATCATTACTTATATTTGCTTAATTAAAAAATTAATATTATTTAATGTAGTACAAAAGTGATTTTAAACAATGATCACCGACAAACACATACTTCAACATACATCATAGACTACGCATTCCATTATTTGATCAGTTTGTAAGACAAAGTCAAGGCCCTCTGAACCTACGTTGTTTTGCAAACAACCAGTTTCTGGTAAGCAAATGATGAGAGAAAGAAAACAATGTTTAAAACATACTGTCATGGACTTTTGGACTCAAGACAAAATGGTGTCATACTTACCAATCAGGTACCATAGTCTCACAACTTGTGCACTCAGAACGATTGCTGCGTGCATCTTTTGGTGTGTTTTTGGTGAAAATATCCATTGCCAATGTTTCATATTCCTGTCTCTTACTTTCAGGAATCTGCCAGTAAGAAATTCATTTACAGTAGTTAAATAATTTTTTAATTACTTTCTTTAATTAATATTATATCCTTAATTTTAGCATTCTGTCAGTGTGTTACACATTTTACTGTGACATTCTGTTCAATAAACTAACCAGTTTTCATGAAATTTGGTAAACTTTAAAAATATATCTCAGTCTTTTCCTGTGGTTACAAATGCCTACCAATACTTCTAAACCACCAACAAATTTGATTTCGTTGTTTTGATAAACACGCAGAAAACAAATAGTCAAGCTCTATTATGATTTATACTAAGAACTGCATTCAGTTCACAAAACCCCTTGACAATAGAGACAGATTCTTCTTGTATTCTTATGCATCAACTGTACAGGCAGAGAACTTCTTCAAACATATTTACAATGTAATACAAATGCCACAGGAAAATTTAAGTGTGACTACACATAAAAACTGGAAGTCCACACATTTCCTCCTTAATTTTGTACCAAAAGAATTAATTTAGATAAAAACCAATAATTCAAAACAAAAGCTGGATCTTACACCTGCACTATTCACCTTGTGAATGTCAGACAGCAACATCTGACAGAATGGCTGACATCCAACAGTGCTGAAGGGTTAACACAAATTAATAAATTCCTTAACAGAAGGGGAACACATTCATATATAACAGGTGTCAACCAATCTTTTCACACACAAAAAATAAAATAAAATTACTAGAAAAGTAAGAACAGCGTTATGATGCAAATAAAACGTGTTCTGTCACTTACTTTTTCAAGTGATTCAAGCCTGATGAAAGCCTTTGAGCAAGTTCCAAATGCTCTGCTGGCACAACTAGCTAATGCCAGAATACAGTAAATATCTTCTGCCTCTAGAATATCTTCATATTCCCGCAGGTGGAGAGCTGTTTTCATGGCTTCATCTACATCACCTGAGAACGAAGTTTCTGACAGGTTACGTAAGGTCACAGTCACGAAACAGTTTCAAAAAAGCTTTTGGTGTTGAATTCTGGGAGATGATTTCCAGAACTGAAAGGAAATAAAACTAATATATGAAAAATAGTATAAAATTGGCATAAAGGTACCTTTATACAGTTGTCTCTGGGCTAACATAAAGAAATGATAGGCTTCAGCACCTTTCCACGCGTTGTCTATTATCTTGGTATTGAAGTCTAATGCATCATCACTCTCCATCAGACCCATCATCAGTGCTCTACTTTTTCCACCTTAAAAACAAACCTACATGTTAATTACGGATTAAACATGTCACAGAGAAGATGGGTTTAAGATTCAGACCTTCTTCCATCCAAATATCTGGCACAATATAACAATAAGTTCTGAGAAGAACTAGTAACACCTATTTTTCCTTCAAAAGCTTCAATCTATATGGAAAGTCTCAAAGAACAATAACTCAATATTCATACAATTCTGAGATCCATTTATATGCATAATTTATACTCATACATATTCCTACTGTGTTAATTTGTCTGGTACAACCTCAACATTTCACATCATCACCATACTTGTAATTTATAAAATCAAAATGTTTCTATATAATTTGTAGGTATGTTTATGATCTCCACACCATGACAAATGCATAACTCTTGTCATTCATTAGTTATATCCATCAAAATTAAACATATATACACATTTCATGTAGCCATGTTGTATTAAATTCTGCAAAAGTTACCTTAATAAAGTTGTATATTTTTAATATGTTTCAGGACACTACACAAAGCGATGCCTATTATCACTACCAATAGTGGAATGACGTTCATGGATATCCATTGAATGATTGAACAGTTATTGGAGATGGGAACAGATATTAAGAGTAGTAAGTTGTGAATATATGAACTGGACTCAAATGTCTCAGCAACAGACCCAGTGATGTGCTTTCATATTAATGATGTTCTGAAACTTTGCTTTCTAGAATTATGATGGTGGTTCAAACTTGATCCAAAATGTTGTGGAAGGATTCCTGGGTTACAAGCGTGTCAGGTGGCTGAACGGTGAATAAACCTTATCTTCTGCCAACGTTTCGAGAACAATCTCTGCTCTCATTCTCATGGCTGCTGGGTAACAAATCTGATCCTTTGTTGTGCATTTGTTGATGGGAAGAAAGATGAGACCAACATTGTCGACAGAAGCATCATGGGTGATATCATCACACATGAGGAAGGGATCATGGGTAATGGGACTGTCAACCGCCCCCTCACAAATCTGACAATCGTCATGCTGGTATTAACAACTGAAGGATATTAGGATGTATGATTTTATACTTGGCATCAGTGACACAATATCAATACCAAACTTCAAAAATGAATAAAAATACGTCCAGTCATTCTTGAATTATTGCATAAATACACAGCCAATTCACAATAAATTTAAAATTATAGTAGCACTATACAAGACAATATGTAGTCTTGACCATGAAGTCAAATTAGTTTCTGATACTTCACATGAAAGTTCTGCCCTAGATGATCTCATTCAGAAGTTGGATAATCTCACCTGCTGAGCCTTGCACTTGTTGTTTGAGGTGCCGCTGATGTTCTTCTACGAGCATTGCAGAAAGCACATACAGTTTCTTCACTCTAAGAGGATGTGACTTTTTCTTGGCTTCAGCCTCAGATAACTGGAAGAAATAACAAGATCTGCATATAACTTATAAAGCCTATACTTTCCTTCAAATGCTTCAGTCTGTATCATGAAGTTATCAATAACTTAATGCTCCATTTATGTAAACAATTTATACTACTACAAATTGTCAAATTTCTCAGCTATAATCAAAAATGTTCCACACCATTATTATGTTTGTAACTGTTAACATATAAAATATATACCTTCATACAAAATTTTACATGTGTAATGGTTCACTAGTTACTGCCTGGAACAAAACCTAAATATTGTGACGTGTCACCGTGAGTGCCGCAGACTCGCGCTGGAGGGGAGGGGCCGCCTGACTTCCAGGCTGCCTGGTCTGGATCTTTCAACATCTTGGGAGGGGGATTATAAACAAAGTCGCATTCCTGGCCGCGGCCATGTGCAAGCTAGACCGAGCGAAGTGTTTAGCGTGTGAAAAGTGTGTCGGGTCGTATTCAAGGCAGCAGACTCCAAAAAGCAAGGGCTGACAATAAAGGGCGTAATTACCAACCTACATCACCATATAGATTTACCGCTCTTAGTATATATATCACCTAAGTGATGTTTTGTATTCCGCTCATATAGTTACTAAAGTATTTGGAGTAATAGTCAAAAAGAATTAAACAAAAACAGAAAACTGAGTACACAGACTGCTACAAATATGAACATTGAAAACATATATAAGATTTTTTATGGTATACAATGTTTGAGAGTTACTGGCATATTTCTTTTAATTTACTATTTGAATCCTGCACTCCTTTAAGTAATAACATAAAGTAAATACACTAAATGGGTGCATTATATGATGTTTGTTATGTCCTTATTAATTGGACCTGTGATGTACACACGCTTTAACAGCAACTGACACCCTGGAGAGAGCATGTGAAAGTAATATTGCCCTCACTTGATATATACAATTCTGAGGTTACTGCTTGGGAGACACCAGCCGTTGAAACATTTTTCCCTAATAATATATTGTTTTAATAAAATAAATACTGTATGTGATAGGATCTTTTTCCTTTTATACATAGTTTTGTACATTTTAATCTTTATATTTTTAGATACCAGGTGGGAAGACAGAAAGTTCTGTCTTCTCTTAATTTCATCATGAATGCAATTCTAATTTGTTAATGTCATTCACAAATATTCAAACTTTTCAAAATTTTCAAAGGATCTATCAGCTACTTTTATATAATGATTTTCTCCTGTAATCTGGTGTCTTTACTTCTAGACCACATTTGTTAGCAGCATTTTTTTCTTGATAATGTTTAAATGCATATATATCTTACATACTTTTCACATAAATATATGTTTTGGTAGGGACCCAGTTTATAGAAACACAGGTCATGTATAAAAAATACTTACAAAATAATAACTCCTAAGTGTCCTCATTTAAATTTCAGATTCACAGTGAAGCTTGATATTTGAAGTACAAACTCTGTAAATAACATCTTAAAATTAACAATGTAAACACTCGTATTTCATAAGCAAACACAAGATGTATGTTATAAAACATGACATACCTGGTACAAAAGCCTGGCAGCTTCCAGGAAGTGGTTAGCTTTTCGGTATAATTTAACGGCCTCAAGTAATTTACCTTTTGCCAGTAAGTGACTAGCATACTTAGCTAACAGACTGCTAATCTCAGGCAACTTAAACTTCTTTGCCAGATCTACAGCTTGATCCCACTGGTTCAGATTCACACAGGTGTCCACAGCTGATTTAATCTGTCCACACTGCAAATCCACATTACTGATTAACAATTAATCAACTACTTCACAGCATTAGATGCTAAATGTTCAAGACCGCTTTCATCAAAGCCTGGCATTAGATACCATGAGCAAGTTCATTAAATTCCATATTATAAAAACCTATTTTATAAGACCTAATCTAAAATTATCCTCCACCTTTCCTCAGTCTTCCAAGCTGTTACTTTTCAGTTCCCTACCAAAATGGGGTTGAGTTAATTTCTTAGCCCTTCAAAAACCTATATCAGATTCTGGCAATTCCAGCCAGCCACTGAACAAAATTCACTTCCATACAGTCTCATGTTATACTTCATAAAATACTTTTAAACATGAGATTTGTCACCACTAACTAGTTTATGGCTAGTGGATATGCATATTTCTAGACCCCCTGATCTCAACAATCTTAAAACTGAAAAAGAATAAACCGACTGACACTCATGGTTTATCATTTGTTTAGATTAATGGATCTCAACAAACTTATTTTAAAAAGCATGTTCTTGATTCATTCAGAAGTCAGTAGTTTTAAAATATAAACAGAATAAATTGAACCTCATGGAGTGTCATGTCAAAATTTATGGATCTCATAATGCTGATGTACACTAATATCCTAAGAAATAAAGTACAAGAATCCTGGATATTTCGAACCATATTTTTATGTAATGTACCAATTTATTATATGAGGAAAACAGCAAATTCCCACTTGCACTTCATGTAAAGTAGAAGTCATATTGAGTCAAAACCTCACACAGAACAAATTAAATTTGCCTGAATTTCCAACGAAAACCTACAATACCAAATCATCAAAATTCAATGAGTAGTTTTGGATATGATATATGAATGAATGCAGAGACACAGTCTCCCTATTATGCATTCATTTCAAGATTTCTGTGCAAATAATATACAAAAATTCTTACCTTGATATACGCTGTAACAGCTTGAGCACACATTCCTACAGAAGCAAACATCTCACCTATGGATGGAAGCAAGTTATGATTTTCAGGTAAGCTGGTGACAGTGTTCTCAAGTGACGTGTAGTCTTCTAGCATGTAGTAGCAGTGAACAAGCTGCTCCTGGTTACGTCCTTTTTCATAATAGTCTCTTGCACCCTCCCAGTTCTGACGGTCAGCCAAGTAGTCTCCTATTGAATTCCATGCTACTTCCATCTGGATGTCAGAGCCTCCTGATCCCATCTTCATCAGCTGTACTACTCTGAACCAATCCCCCAACTTTTCACGTAAGGAAATGGCTAGGTCCCTGCAAGTTTCAGATACAAGGCATTATCTAGATTAAATAGATTGTGTTCTAAAGTTTGTTCTATAAGTCTTTTGCTAGAAGTCTGCTACATATGTTATAAATAATGGTTAGGCTCCAAAATGAGCCCACAGGACCCAATTTAGGTCATAATTCTACTGCTGCAACATTCAGCTTCAATCGAACGTCTGCAATATCATACACTGCAAAATTCAACTTCGGTCCACATCAAAGAATAATCTTTTCCTTTTGCTGCAACATTCAATTTTACTCTCTGAGATATAAGAAACACATTTTTGTTTGATCTCTGTCATTCTGCCTTCTAGTTTGAAGAATCTGAAGTTTCACACAAATTCCATGTGGCTGCAATACAGTTGAAAGTTTTGTGTACTAAGCACGATTTTCACACTTGCGGCAATGTCTCTTAATTTTAAGCAATTATAAGACTGTAAGAAAGTGTTCATAAATAAAACATTGAGTGTCCGATGAGTGTTTTGGTAATCTTTTTGTTTTTTTATGTATACATGTACATAATAATTTAATCCAAATAATTAGTTCAGATGTTTCCTGAACTCTTTAAGACACACAAAATACTGTAATATTTTACCTATGGGCACGCTAAGTTTAGATGCCCCACACACAGTTGCACAGGCACAATTAAATGTCTAGTTATGTGATTATGCACCTCCTTTAGGGAAAATAATCATATTTCAATAACTAAGATATGGCAGTGCAACCTAAAGCATTATGTTCAGTTTGATGATGTCATATCTATGAAATAATTAGAGGTGTAACAAAACAAAAATGAAGCCTCCACTCCTGACCAGCCCGATTCCTACGTGACTCACCTTCTGTCCACCTCAAGGTAAAGTTTCTCTGCTTGATCAAAATCCTTAAAGTAAGCAGCTACTTCAGCTTTTTTCAGTGTATCATTATGTATGTTATGCAATCGCTTGACAAACTGAATTCCTGGATAGTCATTGCAGCGAACAAATGCAGCTTCAGCTGTTGGCAGGTCCAGTTTTTTAACGGCTGCTTCAGCTAGCAGTCGCCTTGGGAAAAGAGATCGGAACATAAATCAATATATGTACATAATCTAAATACTTACCTACTTACTTACTCCATGGAGCCAAATCTTTTCTGAGAAGCCAACAGTCAATCAGCCACTCAAGAGATTCCAAACATTTTATGGAACCTGAAGGTTTGCAAGGGGGGTAAGAAAGCACAATCCAAAAAATCATGATATACCTCAAATGGTAAAATGGCAATGTTATCCCTGTGCCTAAGCACCATATTAAAAAAGTAAATAGAATGAGTGGTGATGAACCTTCAATTTCATCATTTATCAGCCATGCTTTATGGCTTACAAGTAGTCCAGCTGGTCATTTGTTGCACTAGCAAACTACTAAACCATTAACTCCAGAGTTAAGTGTGACCTCCTACACTAGATGGAGGTGAATGGTCACCTTCACATTCTGGTCATGTTACCTCAAGGAGAAATGCCCAGACAATGTGCCAGATGGGCTCAAGTCAATTTGGATTGCAGAAAGACAAATATGTACTCCTTATCACTAGAAACTGAGCTGCACTACTTAAACTCACTTTAATTACTCAGCTATTCACCCAATATGACCCCCGATCCTAGCAAAATATAATTATAAAAAACAGACAGCTATCACCAGAGCTAAAAAAATTAATGAATGTACCTATAAATTACAAGCGACCTAATAAATCACACTGCTTAAGCCTACCCCGGTACCATATTAATTTTTTCTGCGTATAACTTTAAATATTAGAAGTTTACCAAAGTCTAGGATGTGGATTCTCTTCAATGAAGGCAGTTGCCTCTGCAATGCCAACTTTTTCAAGCAAGTTGTGTGTGTCCCTTAGAGACTTCACCTCTAAATCCAGCAAATGTTCTGCTGTTGGGTGTTCCGGATTCTGCATTATCTCATCTAAGAGCACTGCTCTGATTTCAAGTTCCTGTGGAATTTCAGACAAGTTATGATTAACAAAGATACAAAGTTGCAGTGAAATCTCAAGGTTACTTCAGCACATTTCATACGTCATGTACATAAAAATTCTTAATTCTTTTGAATACTGGTGATGGAAACTCATACATCTCAAATAAGCTTTCAGTTTTAAAATCTACAATAAAATTCCAGTTTAGTTCAAGTTCTTACAGTCCTTACTTCAGATATATCTCCAAAATGTCACCAACAGATTAGATATGGTACAATATAGTGCTAAGCATAACTTATTTCTTCTTCATTTCATTCTTCAAATAAGAGTGTCAAAACATCATTCTCATGCCAGTTTCAATTAACTGTGGCATAAAATAATATGGGACCCACATTCTTGCTGTGAAATAGGATTTAATGAATAACATGACAATTTTCAGTATAATTTACAATGAACAACCACTGTTCAGTACTGTGCCTCATTATGATAAGATAAAAACACTATGAGAAAGTTGAGATGTCTACCACAAGATTGACAGAACTGACATTATTTAGCAGGATTCTTGTGATAGACTGTGTTTTACTCAGATATAATATCAGAAATATATAGATACAAACTGTCAAGTTATGTCTAACTGTATGGAAGCTAGGACACTATGAACAGGCACACAAACTGCCACTTTCCCAAGGTAAGACACCACTGAAACATGCTGTTGATTAAATGTTAAAAGTTTCTCAAATCTGGTGTAAATTTTCACACAGAGAACTTACTATAAAAATTCAGTAACTTTGTTATAATGCATTCAATTCTACGTATGAATGCCAATTTTATGACGTCTCACAAAACAGTGAAGATGGATGTCTTCTGAGTTGTTGCAACGTGTAGTCTGGTAGAAGTTTACAGGCGTTTCAGAGGTCCTTGCTGCCTCCATCATCAGGGCAACCTGGCCAATAGTCTACTGCAATGTCCTCTTCAGGACACCACCCAACCCTGGCCAGTTCAGTATTTCCTCTCTCTGATCTGTGTTATTTAGTCCATTTTCTTTCCTGTACATTTCCTTTCATTATTCTCCTCCGTCTGTCCACCCCCACTTCCTTATGTCTTCAAATATTACACAACAGTGCACACTTTGCTTTACACTGGATTACAGCTGCCATTTCTGTTTCTGCACTAAAGTCAATAGAATTAATCCCTGTCTATGCCAGGGTTTTGTATTTTTCTCTCCATATCTGAATGTGCGTTGGTTTGGGCTGAATAAATGTCAAACTTTGAATACACAACTCTGTATGTTTAATAGTAACTGGGAAATAATTTGACTCAAGACTGAAATAAACAAGAAAAGTAGAATAATGGAATTTAAGTGAGATTTCAGGTTCTCACAGTGGTAAGTATGGAGATGACTCTTTTAGGATTTTGTTCTACGTAATCTAATGATGGAGACAGCAACTCTGAAATGTCAGTAAAATTCTACAAGATTATACAGTGCAACATCATATAAGACAGTCATCTTCAATAACAGTTTTCTATTAAGTACTGGAAAGGGGAGAGGGATATTTTATATTCCAATAAATACATATGTACTATTATATTATTCATCTGAGCTCTTCAAAAGACAGCACAATTTTTCACAGCAATAGGTATGTGATGGGTATTAAATGCCAGAACTTATTGACATTTTTAGAGGTCATTACAAACATCACCTTCATTTTGGTTTACTGTATAAAATTTGTAATGTCCTCATTACTTCATCATCTTACCCGAAAGGAACAGATGTAGCCTGAGCTTAGTATGGGCTCCTCAGGTTCAAGACCTCGCAGAACGTACATGCGTGTCTTTTCCATAATAGCAAGCAGCTCGGGATTATCAGAAGCCCATTTCATAGCCCACACATCCTTTCTTTCAAACTTGGACAATTCTCTCTTGTTGTTATTGCCCATAAGTGAGATATCCAAAGCATCTCCTGACATTGCCAATGAAGTGGACGAAGAAAGCAATGGAGATTCCAGATCCAGAAATGTCAGTATACCCGTCACATCAATTACAGATAAACACCTGAAACATATAAACATAAATGTTGCACTGTCTAATTCTGATTTTATCCAAAATTGAAAACACAGAAAGGAATCACCATGCATCAGAGTGAGTGATTCTTATGCTAAATACAAAAACAATGATTCTGTTTCAACAGGAGAGGTTAACTGCAGCATTTAGTGAGATGATCAACAGTAAGTAGATACAAATTTGGAAACAGGTAAATATGACCCATCTCAGCAGTCACCTCAAGACAGAGAAACATAACAAAAAACATGAGTAATGATATCTAACTAACTAGATGGCTTACAGTACCCGCAAGTTCATCACCGAATTAACCAAAGCCCTCCACCGGACTCTGTCCTGGGCCAACAAAATCCAGTCTCCCTCAACTCCTATCTCCCATAGCTCCTGCCTGAGATTATCCTCCAATCTACATCTAGGTCTCCCCAGCGGTCTCTTCCCCTCAGGCTTCCCAACCAATACCCGGTGCACACCTCTTGCAACATCCATGTGTGCCACATGCCCTGCCCATCTCATTCTTCTTCACATAGTCATCTTGACAATATTGGGGAAGGAGTACAAATTTTTAAGCTCATCATTATGCAGTTTTGTCCATACTCCATCATCTTCTCTCCTAGGCCCAAATATTCTCATCAACGCCTTATTCTCAAACACCTGCAATCTGTGTTCCTCCCTCTGAGTGAGAGACCATGTTTTGCACCCATATAAAACAACAGGCAAAATTAATGTTTTGTATATTTTAATCTTTAGGTTATTAGATATCAGAGGGAAGACAAAATATTTTGAACTAAGAAGTAGCAAGCATTTCCCTAATTTAATCTCCTCGCCGATCTGAGTTCCCATCGGCGAGTGCAATACAAAGGACAAGATTTGTTATGCAGCACCCCTGAGGATGAGGGCAGAGATTGTTCTCGAAACATTGGCAGAAGATATGGTTTATTCATCATTCAGCCACCTGACACAGCTTCTAACCCAAGAGTCTTTCATCAACTTCAGTCGCTACGAAAGCTTAACTTTAAATAATTGTTCTGTTGCCACACGCTGTGCAGTCTGTGGCATGACCTTGTACTGATGCAAATGTGACAAATGAGAAACATGATGGATGATCATAATGCACCCCAAGATTCTGGTCACAAAATGTCACACTATTCATTTCAGAAGGCATATACATTATTGCATAAGCATTCATGGTGATAACTGATCTGCCATTCACAAAACAATTCATTTTCTGAATTTTTTTAAATTATAACAAAATAATAAATACCTAAATGCAATAACAGAAATATGCATCAAATTTAAAATTACTAGAGCAGGGCGCTCCTTTCGGAGCTCCTAGGGGGGGGG